ATTTAAAAAGATCAAATACAGTAGTAGACACAGGACTTGGCACTCAGGAAACATATAGGAGTGTTAAATATTATTGTTAATATCTCTAAAATTACTCCAAGGGTGGTAGAGTCTGCCCATTGCCCACTTCCATATCCATTCTGCATGTGATCTAGAGATCAAAAGCTTGCTGCTGCTACCACGAGTACCACCACAACTGTCTCTCACAGTCGAAAAACTAGTTAGGAAAACTGACTCCAGGCATTATGAATGGATAGAAACCTTTCACATCTCAGCCAGCCAATCTGCCAGCAACAACAGCAGCAGGAACACATCTTTCATTTCACATTCACCTTCTGATTTTTACATATGATTTTATCAGAGCCAAATTTGCATCCTGAACACACACTGTAACAGGGTCCAGGAAATGATTTAGCTCCTTGATCTCTCCAACTAGGAGGAGGACAAAACCAAGTTTGGGAAAGCCAATCCATAATATCTACCACAAAATTCATTGAGATGCCACTGCTTCAAGTTGTTCCTGAATTTTTCCTAGCTGAAAGTAATTGTCCTTCCTCCTCCTTTAAGCTGGTGGTTTTCAACCGACACTGGACTTTAGAAATACTTGAAAACTGAAAAGTACTTATTTTTAGTGCACTCGAATCTATTTGGTGTGAGGTAGGGGTGTACCTTGGACATTTTTTTTTTTTTTTGACACAGAGTTTCACTCGTGTTGCCTAGGCTGGAGTGCAATGGCACAATCTCAGCTCACCACAACCTCTGCCTCCTGGGTTCAAGGAGTTCTCCTGCCTCAGCCTCTCAAGTAGCTGGGATTACAGGCATGAGCAACCACACCTGGCTAATTTTGTATTTTTAGTAGAGACGGGGTTTCTCCATGTTGGTCAGGCTGTTCTTGAACTCCCGACCTCAGGTGATCCGCCCACCTCAGCCTTCCAAAATGCTGCAATTACAGATGTGAGCCACTGTGCCGTCCCACCTTGGACATTTTTAAAATTCTAATGTGTACCCAATGTTTAGAACTAGTGTTCTAAAACTTATAACCTTTCATTTATTCTCATCACTTCCTAACTTTTGTTTAGAGATATGAAATGTCCTTACTCTTCCTGCTAGATCATAAGCTCTCTGCAGACAAGATGTAAGTCTAATCTTTTTATATCCTTTACAATTTGTAGCAGATTACTTTGCAAATGACATGTATTTTACATGTTTTTCAAATGTATGAATAAATAGATGGTGAATGATGCCTTGCAAAAATAGTATATTAAAGTTACCATGCATGGCACCTAGTCCTTGCCTTTCTCCCACTTGAAATGTTCTCAAGTATACCTCTTGTGAATCTATTCATTCTGCATAATATAGTAAAAATGTTAAGTGTATATATTGCTCATAGCCTTAACCTTCTCATTAATAACTCACCATAAAATATAACTTAACACAAAATTATCCTGGTTTAGAAAATAGGGCCTAAGAAATAACATTCTCAGCTAGAAAGCTATTACCAATGAACTTACATCTTTTTAGGGAGAAACCTAAAATCTCTAGGAGGGAACCAAAAAAACAAAGCCAAGTCCATTCATACCACTGAATTTCTGAGCTACTCATCTGTCTTCATTATCTTCTTTGATATATCAGTGCACCTCTAAATAAATCTTCTAAAATCCCAATATGCAAAGATAAAAATTCTGGGCTTAAACGTTGTGTTAGTTGCTAGATAACTTTGAAAGAAGTTTACAAGAATGTCTAAGCGATACATTCCAAATTAAAATGACTAGCACTGCTGAGTTCACATCTAGAAAAGTTGAATGCTAACCAATTGGGGTACATGAATAATGCTTGCAGCTCATAATTAAGAATAGCTTTGCTTGAGGATTTTTAATCTTTGAAAGCAAAAATTTCCCAATATCTTTGTCAAATTAGCCCTTAGGTGGGGATTCCTGAGACAAAAATCATATAGTCCTCATCCTCTTTCCTACAGCTTTACCTGTTAGGCAATGATTAAAAACAAGCTATTTGGTTTGCTCTTCTGAACACAGAATTATTCTCTGAGAATTTTAAAATATTAACATTAGTGATAAAGAAGAGGAAAAGGTACAGAATAAGGTTTTAAAAAGCATAAGATAATAAAAAGTGGTCAGACTGGAAAAATTCAATCTTACCTGTTCTGCCTGGCCCACTCCAGTTAGAACTACTTGCATTCAAGGTTCAGATCACTTCAGAAAGCTTTAAAGTTTCAAGATCCTTCTTCATCCTGAAGGTACCCAGGTGAAATCTGTTCTCAAGACTCACCATTTCCCATCTCTAAATGAGCTCCTGTGCCATTCTCTCACTTGTCTTTTCCCTTCCTTGATAAACAGTTTGATCTTTCCTTCCTTCCTTTTTTTCTTCCTTTCTTCCTTCCAACATTTCTTTCTTCCTAACAGATTTCCAACAGCATAACTTCCTTAAGATCTTCCTAGAAAGGTCTGTCTTCACTTTCCTTTCTATCTTAATAGTTCTCTAAAGACTCTATATGGTTCTAATAGAATATGTATCACTTATATAGTTATAATACCTCTATTTTTAAAAAGCTATTTGGATGTATTCAAAGATCAATGGTTAAATGACAGACTTCATGAAAATGAGGAATAAATTTCTTAGTGTATTTTTTCTAACCAAGACAAAGAGAGTAAACATTCAGTTTGTTCTTCTACCTCAAATTACATTCACTGTTACTAATATACGAGCTACTCTAAGAGAATCTAGACTTCTTGAGGGACAGGGAGTTCAAATAACTGAGTAAATATTCAAGAAATGTTTACCTGGACCAAATGCCTTCTCCCACTATATAGTTCTACAAGTGTAAAATCACAAGGTTTTGAGATATTAGACTGATTCTGTTCTCACCCTACCCAACTTCCTCGATGTTGGTTTTACAAAATGGAACTGAACAAGAAGTAAATTTATTATTTTAAAAACTAAGAAATATGATCTATATTGTAGGGCATTTTCTGCCAGGCCCATTACGTAGTTAGGACTAGGATGAGAGAAGGACCATCTTGTCTTGTATTTAGACTTCATCATCTGATCACTAAATGAGTTACAGGTATTTTGATATTGTCATGTTTAAAGTGTCATTTAAAATAAACAATTGAAATATTATCAGTTTTCTAATCTCTTTTGGTTTTTTCTTTATTTTATAATTCACTAAAAGTGTCACAAAATGGCAGTAGCCTGGCAGTTTCTAACCCCTGAGACGCCATGTTTCATGATGTTATTATATACATCTAAAACTAAAATAAATATTAATAATCAAAGGAGGGAACCCATTTCATCATTAAAGGTACATATTTAATTTCTGTGAAGTGATAAACACTTGATTGCTATAAATGTGAATAAAACTTTTATTTTTAAACTTTTCAAGGGAATTAGGTCTATTTTCCTGCTGTTTGAAGCCTTCAGTAACACTCCGAGTGTGTTTGTATTCACTAGGAAAGGACATTTCTGTGGAATTAATTAAATGGAGAATTCAGTGTTCCTGGTAGATCATTTTGGCCATGTTCCATTGCGAACTTTCTAGTCTACATTTCATCTTTCCTGATAAAAGACCCACATGTTCCAAATCCTCAGTCTTTTCTCTACTTATTAGTGAAGAACAATATAGCAAAACTGCTATGTACAGAATTAATAATGATGTGCATTCAGCAAGTCTCTCTGCTGGGAACTTCATCACTGGAATAAGGCAAAATGCAATAGAATAACAGTTCAAATGTAGTCAGTACAAACTAGTATCAAAAATGCTGTTGTATCATCATAGTTAATAGTTCCTTTGATTTTGTTAAAATTAACAAAAATTCCTGTGGGGGGAGAATTAGAAAATATTAAAAGCTCCTAATATAGTCCAGTAAATCCTGAGATGACAGATCTCATTTCCCAAGGAAAATCGGTGCTACTATTTTGGTAACAACAAAAATTCATGTTCAATGCCTAATTAAAACCTTTTGAAATCTATATGCTTTGCCTCTTAATGGCGTTCCATATTTACAAAACAATCAGAATCCTTATCTGTCACTGGCTTTATGTTTCATGTCAGCTTTTTTATTCATCTTACAGAATGAATTTTGCCTTACAGATAAATTCTAGCTATTTTATTTATAGCCATAATGGAATAGCTGCTGCTGTTATTTATGCTATATACATGTTACTTTGGCCCTAAAGCCTGAAGGAACCGATGATTGTTTCCTACCACTGATGATTTCACCTGCACTTCTGTATCTGGGCAACTGCTCAACAGTATTCACAAAGATCTAGCACTTGGTCTGAATCCTGCCTGCTGAAGAGTTTTATTTGGCCAGCTTGGTAAAGGACATTTAAATGAAGAAATCCAAAGCTAGCAGAGAACAGAGATTTTGCAGTCATCAGCACATTTGGGGTGGTGGAAGCCACAGCTAAGGAGGGGATGGGGTACAGAAAGACCTTAGGGTTAATGTGCAGAGCCCTTATTAGGTATTCAGTAAAGACTTGAGGAGTAAAAGAATGAACTAGAAAATGACAATGTACTGATTATTAATTTATATTTGAGTAAGAAAGACTGTTATTTACATCAAAACCTGCCTCTAGAATTTTCCAGCAAGAAAATAAGTGATGACAGTTAGTTAAAAGCCCTAGCAACAGTTCATATTTATGTCCTTGAGGTGAAACCATCCTTCTTCAACAAATAACATATTCTCATTGAATTCCACATTAGCGTATGATAAACACAAGATGTTTTTCATAATCTAGCTGCAGGTTTTATGCTTTTTTTTTTTTAAGCAAAACACACAGGAACTGCCAAGATGGGAGAGTAACCTTTCCTAAATCACTCCAAATGTCACCATGACCATAAGCATAATTTTCTAAGTTGGTGAATTTTTGCTTAAGAAAATATAAATTCATTCAATTGCTTCACTCACATTAAGGTTCCATCATTTATCCTATAAACAAAATTCTGCTTTTATATACATGAATCACTTTGTCATTCACAGGATCAAACCAAAATGACAACTGCTCAATTTTACTGTCAATATTGCACAGCATCACTTCTTGGGAAGAAATATGTGCTAAAAGATGACAGTCCATACTGTGTTTTATGTTATGATCGTATATTTTCTAACTACTGTGAGGCATGCAAAAAACCAATTGAATCCGATTCTAAGGTAAGTTTCACCCCAATTTACAGAATTACTGCATATGGACAGTAAACAATTGGGTTGGAATGCCTCTTTTCATTTAGTGTTTACTTTCAACACTATTTCTCTGCTACTGGATATATAAGGATCTTAAAAGTCACCAGCAGTCAAGCTCCAGCCACTAGACTTAGCACTATGAAATACGACATATGCTTAATTCTCACATGATCTAATGAGGTAGCTGAGAATGCTAAAGATTAAAGAGGTTACATTATTTGTCCAAAGTTACACAGCAAAAATTTTTCTGCTGTTTCCAAGCCCTCAGTAACCCTCTGGTGTGTGTTTATTATTTCCAGAATGACAAAGGTATAAATAAATGCATAAAGAATTGAAGTTGTAAGGATTCAAAATGTTTTCTGACATAAAATCAGCTTCATTTCTACTTAACCCCATTGATACCTTTCACGTCTACCACCCATTCCCCCAACATGCTCATTATTTTCTTTCTCTCTCTCTTTCTCTTTCTTTCCTTCCTTCTTTCCCTCCTCCAATTTTCTTTCTCTCTCTTTTTCTTTTTGTTTCTTTTCTTTCTTTATGCCTTTGCTTTACTTAGATGATGTTATTTTTTGTTTGTTTCTTTAGTTCAGTCTTAAAGAGTAATAGAATATTACAACCTAAAATTTTAAAAAATCATTCCATGAAAAACCTCTGTTGTAGTTTATAACAAGAATGTAGGCAAACTTTGAAGACATAGCAGAGAATTCATTTGTTTTTTTACCAATTGCCTTAAGTGACCCGCCAAGAAAGCCCTGGGCTCTAGCTCTTAATTACCCCAGAGAGTCACCTCTCCATGGGTAACAGTTTCAGTAACAACTTTCCCTCAAGCTACTAGCACAACCTACTGACATGAGAGTCCCAGGAGTGTTCAGTTTTGTCTTATAAAATGGACTGTTTTGTCACAGCCACATTTAATTAACTTTTATTTACTGTCTCAAAGGATCTTTGTTACAAAGACCGGCACTGGCATGAAGGATGCTTCAAGTGCACCAAATGCAATCACTCTTTGGTGGAAAAGCCTTTTGCTGCCAAGGATGAGCGCCTGCTGTGCACGGAGTGCTATTCTAATGAGTGCTCCTCCAAGTGCTTCCACTGCAAGAGGACCATCATGCCTGGTAGGATCTCAAGGGGGCTCCTGTCTCTAACTGAAGCTGTAATGCTTTTCATTAAGTCCCAGCACATGAGGAGTGTAGCAGGTCCCAAAACCCCGGTTTGGAGAAAGACATCTTTCTTGCTCTTTCAGTCTCTTTCTTTAGAAATAAAAAGACTGTATTTTAGAAATAAAAAGATTGTTCATTCATTATCCTTGAACAGGTAACTTACAGTGTTCTATTTTCATCAAGTCTAATTTATACAAACATTTCAAACCAGAATTTCACCCATAAAATAAAGATAAAATTTATACTAATAACACTACATTAAACATCAATGGCATCAGAAAGAGTGATTCATCACAGGCGACTGGAGTCAACTGTGATTTTATAGCTTGACACAAACTGGTTTAAGGATCAGTCATTGTTATTCTCTCTTAGGGAAGACAAGGTTCATGTATATCATTCCACTTTTGGCAAGGACTAATTCTTTATATTTTGATCTTCTTCTCAATCTCTAGGGATAGCAGCATAAGGACATAATTCATTCTCGCTGTCTCACTCTTGCTCTCTCATTTTCTTATTATGGATTCAAAGAATTTTTAGAAGGCCATAATTGTACAACATAATCTCAGTAGTTGTGCTGCAGGCATTTTTAATACCCCTATAATGATTATTATGGTCCAATTTATCCAAACCATGTGCAACCATTAGGAGTCTTCATTCAAAGTACTTTTATATCTCCAGATTATAGGTTATGCAGGGCTTGAAAGAGTTTTCAGTCTAAGGGTGATTCTCCATCATCATGGCTGAATTTTATTAACCTTTTCCTTTCCCCCACATGAATGGGTTTTTTTGAACCTGAAAAAATACTTTTCTAAAAGGACAATTCATTTATCATCTTAACTTAGAATTTAAGTAATTTGATCTGTATTTGCTTAATAAAAATTACACTTGACTTATACTAACAGGTCCTTACTTTTGGAGCACAGGTTCCCGCAAAATGGAATTTAAGGGAAACTACTGGCATGAAACCTGCTTTGTGTGTGACAATTGCCAACAACCTATAGGAACAAAGCCTTTGATCTCCAAAGAGAGTGGCAATTATTGTGTGCCGTGTTTTGAGAAGGAGTTTGCTCACTACTGCAACTTTTGTAAGAAGGTAATTTTCTAAAGAGGGTGAAGCTTGTGGAAACTCAGACTATTCCTTTTTAGCTGGACCATATATTTGGAACGAACTGATACTATTATGTTATACACACTCATGGTACTTTTGACTTTCAACATGTACAAACCACTAGTTGTCATGATGAGGATGACCATCTTTTTTTATTAGGCATAAAATTCCAGTCAAACAAGAAGTTAATATTTCAAACAGCTTAAGTGCTCAAGTGATTTGGTATTCCAGTTCCATTCACTGCTTTTTTTTTTTGAGATGGAGTCTCACTCTGCCACTCAGACTGGAGTGCAGTGGCACAATCTCAGCTCACTGCAACCTCTGCCTCCCAGGTTCAAGCGATTCTCGTGCCTCAGCCTTCAGAGTAGCTGGGATTACAGGCGCATGCCACGCCACTGTGGCCAGCTAATTTTTGTATTTTTAGTAGATATACAAATGGGCTTAAGAGTTCTGCTAAAGTAGCCCATAGATAAATTAATCCCATTTGGGGTTTCACCATGTTGGCCACACTGGTCTTGAACTCCTGACCTCAGATGATCTACCTGGCTTCCCAAAGTGCTAGGATTACAGGCTTCAGCCACCATGCCCAGTCCATTAACTGCTTTTATACAAGATCTCATGTATTCTGGGAGAGAGTACAGGTCTCTCATTTAATACACATGTTTCTTAAAAAATAATTTTTGATCCATTCAGTATTAACTGTTTCAGAGCAATATAGATTTGCCTCCCAAAGTGACTGAGGGAACCAAGTTAAACAGGATGTTTAGCATTCTTTCTCAGCAGTGCAAATATCTTCTCGACTTGAAGGTTTTGTATTTCCTAAGAGTACAGCAATTAGTTCAAGGGAGTGCCAAGATCATGAGGGAAGTCCAGGAGACACAAGACAGAAAGAAGTCTAAGAGCTGCAAGTTCCTTCTCCAGTACCAGGATCATGCAGGGCCTTCTAACTTGGCTTCCCACTCAAAACACATTTTCTAAGAGAGAAAAAAGTAATTTTTTGGAAGTAAACTTCATCCAATTCTTTTTTTATCCTCTAAGCTTTTATGTGGAAAAAGTAGCTGTAACACCTTGATAAAGCCTGTCTGTATTCCACAAATATATATGGATGTTCTCAAAGAAATCCTTGACCTGTGAAGCATCATAAGTTTAAAATGACACCATAAATTGAAATGAGAAAGCTGAATCAGGAAAACACACTGTATTAGTGTAGTAGTTTCTAAATATTTTTTTTTTATCTATGGGCTACTTCGGTAGAACTTTTAAGCCCATTTGTATATCTGGACAGCTGGAAGTCACACTACCACTTTCTACACATGCATATGTGAACAAACATGCACATACACACACATAAACAGTAATTTTTTAACATACATAACCAATACCAATCCTGCATTTAAAGAGGCAACAATATACTATGCTATATCATAACTATTAAGGTACACTATATTAATGGCTAAGAATTACAATTGATCACAACATGACATAAAATAATCTTATGACTGAGACCTTCATTATTCTACCAAAACACTGGCTTAGAAAATGACTTTACAAGCAGCAAACTATATGACCATATGTCATATGAAGCTCCAAAGAATTACCAGAGTCAATGACAGCATTTAAAAACATACTAGAGGCTGGGCATGGTGGCTCACATCTGTAATCACAGCACTTTGTGAAGCCGAAGTGGGAAGATTGCCTCAAGCCAGGAGTTCAAGACCAGCCTAGGCAACATAGTGAGACCCTGTCTCAAAAAAAAAAAAAAAAAGTTTGAAAATTAGCCAAGTGTGGTGACACGTGCCTGTAGTCCCAGCTACTGGTAAGACTGAGTCAGGAGGATCACTTGAGCCCAGAAGTTCAAGGCTGCAGTGAGCTATGATTGAGCCACTGCACTCCAGCCTGGGTGACAATGAGATCCTATCTCTAAAAATATATACAAAAATTAAAAATTAAAGGAATTAAAATCATGCTGGAAATAAAATGAATAGGTTTATCTCACTGTTTTGAGAGACAACTGAGTTGGCCAATTTTAGGCTTCATTTCTTGAAGACTTAGACCAAAACAGTAATGAAATTTGTAAGAATTACCTTAAAATCATTTATTGGACACAATATAAATTCTCTTTCAATGCTATAAAAATTCAGGAGTGAAACTTCTTTAGTACATCCATGCTTAGAACTGTCTGGGCCAAGTGCTGGTGTTTCCCAGGTTTTAGGAGCCTGTAACTATATTTAGGATATGATTTGAAGTCATCAAAAATTTACAAAATATTTATATTGGGTAGTAGACAGATTGTGACATACCAGATTGTTTTTTATTTAGTTTTTAAAACCACAAGTCCTTTTATAAAAAGCTAGATATGTTTTGATCAAGATGATCCAATCTAAACAATTTTTTCAACCCAAAGCAAAGACCAAATTTTTTCTTAAAAAAAAAGGAAAAACTACTTGACAACCAGGCCCTTAGAACTTTTAAGCTTTAAAGTCCATAGATTTTATTTTATTACACTAAGATTTATTTTCTGCCAGAAAGAAAATGACTTCAAACTACAAATGCTTCAAATTCAAATTCCTCAAGTTTCAAAAAGAGTTAAACGTCTTCTTTGATTCTTCATCTGTCACCCGCTGAGTGCAAAATCATTATTGCCTCCGCTTTTTCAGAGAAGAAACTTTTTCTAAATCCTGGGATCAATCAGTGGTGAAAACCAAGCTCAGATATTGGACTTCATCTTAACCTTCCTACCTCTTCAAAAGGAATATAATCACAAACTATTTTTAATGTTCCAGAGTTTCTTCCTCTAATTAAACAGTCTTTGGTGTATATATCAAGTTTTATTTTGCTGTGAATACATTTTTCAAGTTTTGAATCTTTTAAGCATTGCCTGCTAATACTTAGACCAAACAAATCAAAGGAATCATGAATTCTGCTGTGTCTGCTGCAAGGCATTTGAAGTCAGTAGGGGGTATTTTAAATTGCTTTACTTCCATCACACCATTATGCTTCCCATTTACTTGTTCAGAATAGTATGCTTTTTTCCTCTAGGAAAATAATCTTTTATATCAAACATCTTTAATTTCTAAGATATTTGTTATAAGATTAAAAATACCTTTAGAATTTTTTTTCACAAGTCTATATTACAGACAAATAACATTTCTGAGTTTGTAAAGAAGGAAGTGACTTAAAATAGGCTCTGTGTTTTTACTATCTAGTTAATTTGATACAAAGTTTATAGGAACCACCTCAGATATCCCATTGCTTCATTATAAAACATTTAGAAAAACACACTTCAGTGTCTACAGCAACTCCAAGAGCTCATTAGCTGTGAATTCAAAATGTGATATGGCTTAAAAATGGTTACACGAGAAGAATTGCCCAATATTTATCCATCTGAATCTGCATAAAGATTTTTCAGCCTTTTAAAAGGTAGAATTCAGGGATTAAACTAGTTTAGAAAAAAAAATAATATTATGAAAAATTAATTACATCTCTGACAAAATGCTTCACATCACATGTTAAGGCTCAATGTACAACCAGTGCTCATTCCACTGAGTTCTGATTCCCACAGCACCCCATTTCTAGATACAATACTGGAATTGCTTTCCAGCTATTTTTTCCTTTGGTATTTATTCATTAATTCAACAAGGATTTATCAGCTGCTTATCTGTGCAAGATAACCTTGACTCAGTATGGTATTAATGGTGAAGCACACAGGCTATGGAGTCAGACCATGCAGGTTTGAATCCTAGCTCACCGTGGCCATGGCAAGTAACTTAATGACTGTAAGGCTCAGTAGTTGCTCATCTGAAAAGAGGGAAAGATAATAGTCTCTATTATGTAGAGGTGTTGAGACTATTTAGAAGAGGTCATCCTTTGCATGGTGCTAAGGACTGAAAAAACACTTAGGAAATGGTAGTTATTATTAGCAAATAACGGCGCTTGCCAATTCCATTCAGAGTTACCAATATAGCCCTGCCTCTGTTCTATTTCATTGTAGGAGAAAAATATACAGTAACTTTCATTTCTTTCTACTTCTAGCTCATTCCTATAGCCTTTGGTTTCTCATATTATTATTTCCTTTATTTTAAAGATGTTTTTTAGGAAAGGAACATCCTAACATGAGGTGAAAATAGAGCAGCTGGAAGCACCAGCTGTGGACATAGAAGACATAAAATGATCACTTTTTATTTTTGCTTCCTTTTCCCCTCAGAGATACTAGAATCTAAAGAGAATCATGAAGTGATCTGAATTGTAATGGCTCCCATGGTCATTGCCTTTTCTGTGGTCTTTGGCAGGTGATAACTTCAGGTGGGATAACACTTTGTGACCAGCTATGGCATAAAGAGTGTTTTCTGTGTAGTGGCTGTAGGAAAGATCTCTGTGAAGAACAGTTTATGTCCAGAGACGACTATCCATTCTGTGTGGACTGCTACAACCATCTTTATGCTAACAAGTGTGTAGCCTGTTCCAAACCCATTACTGGTGAGTTCTCTAGTTCAATATGATCATGCCATGAAACAGTTATGGCTATATAAGATGCTGTATAGTTAATTTAGGAAATGCAAGTAAAAGATGGGAAGCTTTCATTTATGTTTCCTTTTGAGATAAACACAAGTGGGTGCCTATATATGAGTACAAATGTTACATGGATTCCTCAAGGAAAGTACAAGAGTATACTTTGGTAGCCTGCACTCTGTGAAGGTAACTATATATTAAACCTAATGGTACCGACTCTAAGTAAAATAACAGTTTAAAGAAGCAGGAGATGGGAGGGTAAGATGGGAGGTGAGCGCAGACTTTCACAAGGAGGCTTGCTTGAAGCCTCATTAAGATTTGAGTGGGAGGAAAGAGTACTAATAAATCAGAATCCTGCTTAATTCCAAAATAGGGCCAAGCATCCTTTAGTTAGGAAGGTTTTAATTAAATTCCACTATTGTCTAGAACATCTGAAGCTGTAATAATTAAGGTAGCATAGGTCAGTAATTAAACTTTATTTGAAGATGCTTCTAACAAATGTATTACTCTCTTTTCTCTATATTCACTTGCAATTATGAAGTGCATTAATGAGTAGATGAAAGAAAACAAGATGGCATTTTACTAAAGAAAAAATGTGACATGATTTGAAAATAACGTAATGATAAATCGATCCATGTTAAAGAGGTTTTCAAGGTAAAAAAAAAAATACATCTTTTCCTCAGAGATACCTTTAAAATGCTAATCCTATAATAAAGGAACCGAAATTAGCATGACACTTGAGAGGCCCAGCAGCTATTCTTTCTGGCAATTTATAGACACTTAACAATGTGTCAGAACTGTATATCTACTTTCTATCCCTAGTATTCTTAGATCATATTTCAATTTTTAGTTCTATATACCGCAGAATTAAAGATTATTTTATCCCTTTCCTCCTTCATCTTCATATGTGTAACAAAATAAAAGATGAATCTTCATGCACTTTCTGATGAAGAAAGAGTTTGACAGCAAACCCCACCTTGGCAGGTTTTCACTGACTTGCAAGGGGAGGGAGGGTGTCACCAGAACAAACAGCATGGTCTTATTTGTCTATATGAAGCACCATGTGTGTCAGGATCACACTGGCCCACGATCTACATCTGGCCAGCAGACAGGTGATGTTTGGCCTGAACATGTTTGAAAATAACTAATGCAAAATTCATCTCTGCCGCTTAAAGTGGAGGAATAGCCTGCCATTGGGTGAGCAGACTGTCTCTACATTCCCCAGCAGGGTCACCATCATATGAAGCTAGTGGCTGTCCCATTGCATGGGGCATGTCCTCTCTGTTCCTCGCACCCTGTCTGCTTCTCTCAGCTAGGTTACCTCTCTGGCCCTTGCAAGGACTTGCCATAGCAATCCCACACCACTGGGCTCCAGGGTCCACGTAGTATGAAGGTAACTACATACTAAACCATATTAAACCTAATGGTTTAGTATGTAGTTTAGCTTTTAACTACCCTGCTCTCCTGCATTCTACACATTTAGCAATTCCTATAGCCAAGAGAATAAGCCACTATCTCCACTGATTTTAGTTAGAAAATGGGACTTTCAGATATACAACAGTACGCAGCTCCAGAATCTCCCTAGTAAAATCTGCAGTCGCAGTCCATTTATTTGACAACAATCCTTTTCTTGAACTGGGACAGCAAAAAAAAAAAGGGTATGTCAGTGAGAAAATGAGGAAATTAACAACTCAAAATAGGTTTCAAAATTCTCTGGAGATCCAGATAACTAATACTGATCTGCAAAAAGCCTACACAAGCCCTGAACTTGAGTTTCAATTCTGATATATCACAGATCCATAGGTCTAAGTGATTTTTCTCATAGATTGTTCCAGATCAATCACTGAGCACAGCTTTTTAAAGTTCAGATGGAAAAACAGTGTTGTTCTGCACAAAGATATGAGGATGATCAAGAGAAAATGATCAGACCCAAAATCCAAATGCAATATTATATATTTAATTTAGACTCATCAATCCACAGGAAATGTCTCATAACTATTATAATCTTTTTTTTAACTTTTTGATTGAGACACCAGAGACTGAAATGCCTGCAAAAACTTACAACTCAATTTAATATTTCTTGGTCTAATTGTTAAACATCTATAGGTACTGCAGTACTGTTTCTTTAAAATTGAGCTAGCTGAACTGATGTACCATTGGGAATTCTGATATTGTCACATATCTTCAGAAAATTGGCATTCATCTGATTATTATCTCACTTTAAGACGCTAGGTATTCTTGATCAAAGGATACAAAATTTCAGCTAAACAGGATAAATAATTTCAAGAGACCTATTGTCCAACATAGTGACTATAGTTAATAACAATGCATTATACAGTTGAAAATGGCTAATAGATTTTAAATGTTCTCACCACATACAAAGAAAAGTATATGATAAGGTAACAGATATGTTAATTGCCTTGATTTGGCCATTCCACAATGTATACATACACAAAAACCACATGGTATATAATTTTTATTTGTCAATTAAAATTAAACAATTTTTTAAAGCTCTGAAAAATCTATTTATAAATCACCAAGTGTAATTTTTAAAACCCATCACAATGAACTTGCTTCATTTGAACAAACTCCAGGTATAACCTTCACATTTTTTCCTCCTTTAACCTCTTAAACTATCAGGGATAAATGAAGCAGCTTGATGCAATGAAAAGTGCTCTGGACTGAGGAGCAAAATACTTGGTCCTCCCTGCCCCCAACCGCTGTGTCACCACGGGTGACTAACTCACCTCTGGGGGTAGGGGACTTCATTTGCCTTATTTATAAAACAAATGGTTAAGCCGGTTGGCTTTCTTCCATCTCTGTTTATTTCAAGGAAAAGGAATTAAAAATGTTGTGGCTTCTTCAGAGAGTAATGCTAATGTTCCTGATCATGTTCTTTACCAAAGATAAACTCAAGCTTAGTTTCATGAGGTTAAAAGCAGAGGCTCTAAAGCCAGATGGCCTGTGCTTAAATCTCAGATCTACTTCCTAGCTGGGTGAGTTGGGGCAAGTGGTTAAACTTGTCGTTTCTCATTTTTTGTCTGCAAAGTGGGGCTAATGCTAATATCTACCCCATGAAGGTAAGATGAGGGCTATATATGGTAGCACATATGAAAGACTTAGAATAGTGATTGGCACATATTCAAGAACTCAACAAATGCCAGCTCTTATTCTACTGACTTGTCAGAAACCTATGAAACCCGATGAAACAGGTGCCAGAGACCTGCTTCGTGGATGGCTTTCTTACTGAAAATAACTCTCATGACCTAAGGGAGTAAACATATCCTTTTTGAAACAATTAACAAACATCTCACATGTTGCTTCTGCCCTTTCTTAAAGTCCTGTTGCCAGTTGCTTCTACTTTTTCTTCTTTGTAAAAATCTGGAAGAAATGCTTTTATATTTGCCACTTGTACAAGGCTTACTAATAAAATTAAGAGAAACTCATGAGCATCAAAATGCTAGACATGTAATAATTAGTTTTATGAACAGGCATAATTTATGTATATACAGAGCATTACTCTTGCAGTCAGCTCATTAATGTTTTGAATAACATTGAGGGAATTAAGTAGTACATAATTAATTTACATTTATTAGGAAGTAATGTTGATAGCATCATAGATAAGTAAGCTATAAATTTAATCAAGGAAAGTAGAGAAATTTGATGCAAATTTGAATATGAACTACTAAATTATATAGGAAGACATCAAACAAGTTTGTTAGGTTGGAAACAAAAGTTAATTATCATATTTAAGAACAGTGTATCTGAAATAGAGTGCTATTAACCCTTTCACTTCACCATTTCAAATGGAGTATTTTGAAATTACATGTGAATTATATCTCTTTTAGCCTCACGCTATGGATAATAAGCAAATAATACCACTAAGATTACTGAAAGAAAACATGAAATAAATAAAGACCCAAGCCTAAGGCATCTCAACCTCTTCCCAAACCCTAGACATTTTCTTCTTTTATATAACTTCTCAAGATCAATTTCTTGAACTATACCCTGGAATCACATTAGGGAGGCAGAGATCAGACCTTCAATAAAGGTTCAAATTCTACTACTTTTTAAACAAACAGTATGGTTTAAGCGAGGTCCAAGTTAAAGTGGAGGAGGCTGACAAAGCACTTAGAAACCAATCACGTGGTTATCCACGTGGCCTCGGTGGCCAGATTCAACATAAGCTGCAGTTGTCTCTGAGCAAGGTAATAAAGCCATTACATTAGGATGTCTGAATGATTAGATAAAATCCTCCATTTGGGCTTTCTAGAAATAGTGTCCCAACCCATATGACCCCCAGATGTATTCTAAGTAAAACTAAGCACAAAAAAAATAAGGGAAGAGATGAAAACTAAAACTCATTACAACATCGGACATCAAGCTAGGATGTGTATATTGATTTTATTTTATTTTTATTTTGCAGCTAAGAAAACTTAAAGTCACATAGAGAAAAAGAAGAAATGTAGTCATACTTAGACATCTCTGACTCCACAACGCCTACCCTCTTCCCAATACACTACACTGTATTTTCTTACCTGACTTAGACAATCCTTATCTATGTGACTTGCATAACAACATGCTGCCTATTTCTGTAGATTATGGCAGAATTTGGCTGCAAATTTGGTTGGGTGGCACAGGCAGAATTTTCCTACAGCTGATAGTTCCAGGTGGACACAGAGCCAGGAAGCAGCATTCTTTCTTGGGTTACTTGTCTGGCTTATGGCTGTATCTCCAGTTCCTAGAGGAGAACCTGATAAAATGTTCAATCTATTCCTTGAAAAGATAAATTAATCTTTTTCTCCAATTTTTTTTTACAGGTCTCACAGGTGCCAAGTTTATCTGCTTTCAAGACAGCCAGTGGCATAGTGAATGTTTTAACTGTGGGAAGTGCTCTGTCTCTTTGGTGGGTAAAGGCTTCCTGACCCAGAACAAGGAAATCTTCTGCCCAAAATGTGGCTCTGGGATGGACACTGACATCTAGGGGAGTCCTTTCCCACCAAAAATCCACTTTGTCTTTGTTGTCACTAAAGCCAGAATTCAGTTGCAGTCTTATTTTTGACTTAAGTTTTAGAAAATATTAATGTAGTTTAGAGTGGAAGAGTTTTTGCACACATTTTAATCGAGCTACATTCTAAGGGCACAAAAAAACACAGTAGAACAGAAATGAATATATGCTAAATCACAAAGACACCTCTCCTTGCAAAATACTGCACTCTGCTGTTAGAAATATAGGAAAATATCTCTTTATAATCACACATACAACCTATACCTAGGAACTGTGGATATAATTACTAAGAATGAGGTTTTTCATACCTGAAGAGTAAAAGAAAAACTAAGAGGTCAAGGTGAGAGGTATACATGAGACTAGTGTTTGCATTCCCGGTTATATGTAATGTGATAAATTAGCTATGAATGGTAAAAGAAAATTGATCAGAGCAAATTGATTAGCAAATATCACATTTAAGAATTATTATTTAAAAATCATTCTTTTATTGTTCACACATACTGACTTTAGAATTAAAAAACAAAAGCTACAATTTGCCCTCATACACACTGCTTCCACAGCTTGCTAGTTCCGTGTCAATGCAATATGAGAATTGAGGACATTATGGCTCTCCTACTCTGCATAGGTATAAAGGGGACCATTTCTACCTAGGGATAGCCAAAGCTTGGGTTTCAACACATTTTGTATTAAATGTGTTTTCAAAGTCCACAATGATTTTTCTAAACGCTTACAGATTCCATGAAATAAAAGTCTATTCTTTCAAGTGGAGCTAACCAGGATAATCTTTGTCCCCAAAGGCAAACCTTTAAAATAAATAGATCATTAAATCATCACTTGTGGAAATGAGTTTTAGGGAAGGGATTGAGTGTTGGAACATGACTTTCATCCAGATATCTAAAGACATAATAGAATGCATAATTAGCTCTGTGCCTCATGCATTTTGCCTTCTAAAATTACATAGATGATTAATGGGCAGACATAAAAGTGGGCTTTAAGGAAATCTAACAATAATAAAAACTGAAAAAGAATAATTCACTGCTGATAATTCAGAACCTGCAAAGCAGCACAATAGAGTAATGTGGGCTGTAGAGGAGCCCTCCCCACTCTTCCCCCACACCTGTGCCATCTACCTTACCCCAAGCCAATCGTGCCCCTAGCTTCAATCTGCTTCATAACCAGTAGGTGCACTCCTAACCCTAAACAACCATCCTACAAGTCAGTCAGTGTTTATTGATCACACAGAAAGCAAACAGCCTTAGTGAGAAGTCCATCACAATGTTTATCTTTATACCAGACTTTAACTGATCATGACTGTACCTTGCAGCCCCTGGATATTTTCCACATTACTTGGGACAAATGGAAAGCAACCTCTGCTCTCCATGGTCAGTTATCAAACTTAGTTATAGCATCTCTTGTGTGGAGTAGAAGGAGGTCAGGAGAAGAAGCCTACATAGATATATAAGTGTGTTCACTCAGATTACTGCATAGCATTAAAGGTTTTGATTGAAATCTAATTATAAGATACTGCTGATTACAATTACTAAAATAGCATCACAGGAGATTCAATAAAAATTGTTATGGAAACAATTTTTGAAATAGTTTAAAATGCAAGAACATTCAGGGATGTTAACAATTTAGAGATACTAATAAATGTTCTGCTAGGTAGACTATTTGAAAACTATAAATATATTTTTAGATTAACAATGCCAAGGTATTTTTTCATATTCACATTGTAAAATACAGGGAAAACTATCAATATTTTTTCTGCATTATATGAAATTTCACAGGTAGAACTAAATCTACAATATAAAAAATAGTATATTGCACGTAGAGAAAACCAAGCCACTCAAGTCTAGATGGATATATAACATGTAACACCTTCTCTGTTAACCAGTTATAGATAAATATATAACATGTAATGCTTTGTTAAACAATTGGAAATGTTTAGGCATTTTATTGTGTGTGGGGGTGAGTACGCACATGATCAGACTTGTATTCTAGGTTTTCAATTAAAACTCACAGAATCATTTCCTTGATAAAAATTTTATTATCCTTTCATAAGCATAAATATATATACTTTTACAATTTAATAGTTCTGCATTTAGGAGGTATTCTATATATCAAACACATATTAAACATGTACTATGCCCAAAGTTAGAGCTTACGCTGTTATGGTTCTGGAGTGGTAGGAACATGGATCAGGGTGTGGAAATGTGGAAGTGCCTGAGGCAGAGATCCTTGCTTACAGGTTAAACAAAGCACCACTGCAGACATAGCACACATATGCAAAACAACTAAGGAAGTAGACCTCGTTAGGTTTTTGTGTAACACACACACAAAGATAAATGTAAACATTATATAGTTGATTTATATGATTCATGTAACAAAGAGAAAAACTCTCTTAGGGACTTATCTGAAGATGAAATGGACTGCCTCAGGAAACAGTGGGCTCCCAGTAATTCAAAGGTGACATCTGCATAGGCAGGAAAGCAGTTCCTGCCAATAACAACCAGATGACTTGGAAGTAGCAGAGACTGTGCCGAAGAGCAAGAGGAAATAAGATTGCTAAAAGAGAAAGAGTCAGAGGAAGGGAGAATATTAACTCTTAGGATAAAAAGTGTATGTAACAGGCCATAGAAAGTTACCAACTGTTCTTAAGTAGAAGAAAATAATTATTGCAGTGTTTGAGGAAAATTATGCTATTGATTCTTTGTGGAATAGAACCAAAGAAATCAAGACTCCAAGGATTAAGTTTCTTCCTGCAGTAATAAGTTTAGTTAGTGGCTACAAAAGTGAAAAGAAAGAGGAAAAAGGCATTGAAGGCCAAGAGTTATATTTGTAGGCAAAGATGAGTATGCAAGTCAACAAGTCAAAATATTTTATTTTGTTATGTTGGGGATTAAGGATGACCAAAAAAAAGCAAAAATGTATTTCTGCTTCGATAATAATGATTAAGATGCTCAAGGGTTCAATTTTAACTTAACAACATTATAAAAGTGTGAAATTGGGACAAACTAGCTCCATTGGTTAAGTAAAATGTGGTTGTGTTACAATCCAGGATTCAAAGCTTACATTGTTGCTGTAACTTTAAAAAAAGGAACATTAGATTGTTCACTGGAGTAAAATATTGGCCTACCGTTATGAAAAATGCATAATACTAATCACAAATGGTTTTAAAAAACACTGTAAATTTTAATACCACAAATGAAAAGTCAATCCGAAAACACATTTCATGTTAGTAATATCATTTTGAATTTAAAAAAAATAATTTTTAATATACTTGGCATCTTGTTAATAGTTCATTTTTTATGGTTGTTACAGTATGTTTTTTATATATTTAATCGAGCACATAGTCTGTAAGGTATCTGTAAGTTTTTATGAGGATAATGATACTGTTTTTGCTTATTTTATAAATTGGTTTTTAGAAGTCTCTTATACTGAATAAATTTGCATTTTACATAGTCTATATTACTCATATTATTTTTAAAGATTCACTTTTTACATTAACTGTGTAGTAAACAGAATAGGTGTGGAATAATTTCTGTAGTGTTTCTACTTCTATTACATAAGGAAACATGATAACTTTTACTTTCTATTACCCATCTATTTTTACAACATTAAAATTAACTATATATTCAAATATCATTTCAGGGCATTAATAGGAAAAAAACAGAATTGTCTTACCCAAACAGAATCTGTCTTCTGTTAAACTAGGAGATCCATGGCTATGTTCCTTCTTACAGTAATAAAATGGTAAAATATTCTAAACTAAAAAAATTACTTCCTATTATTTCTGTGATTCTGAAAATATTTTATGAAAAAATCCCACTTTAATTGGATTTTTTTTTTTGCTTTAATGCAGATAGTCTTTTGCTAATTTCTTATTTCTATATGCAAGGAATCGCTAAAACTCTTGGTGGCTTTAAACCCTTCTCTATTTTATCTAAAGCAAAATTTATGTCTGTGACACACATCTTCATGAAACTTTAATCCACACTATTAGTATCAGTTACTTCCCAGAATTAATCTTGGATGCTGAATTATTTTAATGTCTAGACATGTTTCTCAAAGAATATTTGGAAGAATACCCTCATCAAATATTTCTAGTTCACTTTTTTAATCACATTTTTTTGAAAACTAACGATATTCTTTTGAGGACCCAAAACATAAACTTTATGTCTTGGAATAGAGTTTCTTCAGTAAAAGAGACAGAATACCATTAGAAATTATAGTTGTTAGGTATTACCTTTATCCTAAACCTCTTCGTCTAGGATTATTAAATCTTTAGATCTTCATTATCCTACCAGAAACATTGCAGGACTGACCGAGATGGGATCACCATTAAAAAATGTATGGGAACTTTGAGGTTCTCTTTTCAGGGAGAGGTAAAGGAGATCTATGAAGACGGGAAAATACATCACCAGAATATATTTGGCCTTGCAACTCTCAGCATTTACTGAAATGATATCTAAATATATAGTTAGTTTGAATGGTGTAAAAATAGATGGATAATAGAAGGTAAAAGTCATCATATTCTTTTTATGTCAACATTAAAAAAGGATATCAAGGAGAGAGGATATCAAGTCTTCATTTGAACCATCCACCTCAAAAGAATTTAGAAATGAGTCCATCCATTCAAGTCACCATGTGGCTTCTTAAATGGTGCCCAAAACATATCAGAGAGAATTAGAGAAGTTTTGTCTGATAATTATAACCGTTCTGAATTTTTCTGGCTGATAAACTTTAGACCAGATACTCTGTTCAATATGGAGAAAATCAAAAAGGAGGAAAATCAAAAAAGAGGCAAAAGGAACAAGAGATTCAGACTCAAGAGTCTATAAAAGAAATAGCACAGTTTATATGTATTTGAAATGACTGGATTTTATATCTCTGTGGTTGAGAAAGGGAACAGCTTGCTGTGATAGAATTATGATCCATGTCACTGAGGAGCAAAGAGTATTTGGGTCAAATATTTTCCCACAAATGTTAACAAGCTTATGGAGTGGATGTCCATAAAGGGTTCTCTAAATGAGGAACATTAATGAGCTCAACAGACATTCATCCAGTGACTCAAACAGTGACATTAAATGCTATTCCCGCTACACAGAAAAACAAAAAGTTTGATATTTATGGAAGTGCACACACTGAATCATTAAGGCTTACTCCTTCTTTAACAAATGACAGCCTATCTCTTGTTTGCCTCTGTGGCATCACGGATAGATCTGTTTATCTGAGAGCTTCAACCCAAGCTCTCAAACAAGAAATGAATGAAGGAGTATAGATACAGGAGAAATGGGGAAAATAGTGTGGTGATAAAAATGTTGACGTTTCTGGAAAAAAAAATGAAAAACAATTTTTAAAACTTTCACTTTCCCTATATAATAAAAATTTTCCCAAACTACAAGACAGTTAGAAGAGGCAAAATATGTGAACAAAAAAAAGGAAAAGTTTGATAAAACTTGGGGCTTGAGGACTACAGTTAGTATCAGTTTTCTCCCCTGCATGGAAATTTCTCTTTTAGATGCCACCAACTAACATGGAGCCACAAGTCAATGATCGCTTTTCAACATTCTGTCTGCTATGAGACAGGCACTTGCTATTGTTGGCTTCCTCATGATTCTTCAAAATTTTTCTGCCAATGGCATCCACGACACCATTTTATCCTATGTCTTCTAAATCTCTGCCTCCTTCACTAGCACACCATCTTCTATCAATTTCTTAAAAACAAATATTCCTAAATATTCTTGACCTCCTTGTTCTATATTTTCTCTATTGGTGAATTTATCTAATTACATGATTTAAACTGCTTTCTCTGGGTAGCTGAGTTCCAAATATACATCTTCTGACTTGAATTCTCTTCCGAGTTCCAGACACAAGTTTCTCATTGCCTTTTGGACATCTCAAACCAGTGTCATGCAGACACCTAAAAATAACTTTATTATCCTTCCTCCAAATTCCACTTATCTTCCTCTGTTCCTCATCTTAGTTAATGCATCATCCAAATAGAGCTTTTTTAATTCAAGTCTTGGACACATGAAAAGTAGTCATTAGGGAAATGCAGATTAAAACCACAATGAGACACCATTTCATACAGACTGGAATGGCTATAATAAGTAAGACAGACTGTAACAAGTATTGTGGAGGATGTAGAAGAACAGGAACTTTCATATAGTGCTTGTAGTAATGAAAATGATAGAAAACAATTCAGCTACTTTGGAAAACAGTTTGATAGTTTCTCAAAAAGCTAAACATTAAACTACCAGAAATTTCACTCATATCTACCCAAGAGAAATAAAAATATATGTCCACACAAATGTTCATAGCAGCATTATTCATAATAACTCAAACTGAAATTAACCAAGTAGTCAACTGGTAAATAAAGGAAGTGTGATATAGCCATATAATATTATGCAGCCATAGAAAGGAATAAAGTATTGATAGATGCTACAACGTGAATGAACTTTGAAAATATTATGCTAAGTGGAAGAAGTCAGACAAAAAGGCCACATATTGTATGATTCCATGTATACAAGAAGCTCAGAACAGGCAAATTTATAGAGACCAAGTATATTAGTGGTTTCCTGGGGTTAGGGTCATGAATGGTACTTTACTGCAATTACGCATAAGGAAACTTTATTGGGATGAATGAAAATATTCTAAAACTATTTTATGGTAATGATTGCACTGCTTGATGAAATTACTAAAAGTCATTGAATTATTGACTTGAGTGAATTGTATGATATATACGCTATATCTTAATAAAGCTGTTTTTTTATATCTATCTTGGCTCTTTCCTCTCCCCAATTCGTTACATTTCAGTCCTGTAACAAAAGCTACAATTTCTTCATTTTCTCTTGCAGACTTATTTTGTTTCCCCAAAATGTCATTCACTTTAATTTTTATATGCTTCTGTCCATGCTGTTTCCTCTGCTTAGGATTCTCTTCCTCTCACCTGCCTGTCAAAATTTTAATCAATCTCTAAAGCCCAGATCAAATGTTGCCTCCTATGTGAAAACTTTACTAATATCCCTTAGCAAAATTTAATCATTTTCTGCAACTTCTTTTATAAATCTGTGAGAAGTTTAAACAACTTGATTATGTTACAGTTAGGAGTGAGAGTCAATCTAGTTAAAAGGTGGTCTTTAGAGTAAGAAAAGCTGGGTTCAGATCCCAGCTCTGCCACTGGCTTGTTATACGACATTTGCTTAAGTTACTGAACTGAGCCTTGGTTTCTCAATTTTCCAATATAAACCTCAAAAAGTTTGATGTGAATATGAAATGAAATATATGCAAACTGCTTTACGTCTACCTGGAACATATTCAACATATTAAAAAGTTATTAAAATGTCAATGATCTTCATCTTCCTTCCCACCCCCTCTCCACCCTGGATCATGTGTTTATTCATCTTTGATAAACTCAGTGCTCAGTGAAGTGCCTGGCACTTGGTAGACAGCCAATAAATACTTCTTGAATTAAATTCTAGTTGTGAAAATATTACTGCTATAATAATATTCTCCCAGCATTAGTTGTGAATAATCGTGAGAAATATGTAAATGCCTTTTGCCATTGGCCTCAATCATGTTGTATGGAGTTGCCCATGTAAGAAGCAGCTAGAAGGCAAATTAATACCTGCAGTTTCAAGTATCTACATTGAAGTTTTTATTTTGATACCACTGTTTCCTCTGTCCATATACGATTAATCTGTAGAATATGTCTTTCTCAACCAGCATTCACAGGGTGTCTGGTGACACTTAATTTTCAGGTGCTTTGGAGAATAACTGCCTATATGTGAAGTTTCCTCTAGGGCCCTCAAGGTAGATGTTTTAGGCATTGCAGAGCTTATATGTTAAACCAGACCATCCTAAATATACCTGCCAAATTTGGAGTCAATCTGTCCAAGTTTTGTATCATGTATGTGCAGACAGCTAGAAGTGTAATTGTACTTACCTTGCTTAAACCACGAGATGCATTCTCTGTGTTCCTCAAAAATGCAGCCAATTTTACTTTAACCTACACTGAGTATGTGTAGATTTAGACATATTAAATTATTTTATCATACCATAACGGCATTTATGGGCTGCCTCAATCCTCCCATGATACAGAATTTCTCTTGTTCTTCCTTATTAAGCTTCTCCCTTTTTTTTTTTTTTTTGACATTTTCACCTCTCCTGTTCCAGTGTTCTCCTTCTCTTAATGTGCATTAATTCCTGGTGGATATTAGCATAATTACTTTGGCTGGAATTCTGGAAAATGAACATCTAGGCTTCTTTATCCATTTACCTGGTCCTTACATAGCACCGACACTTCTCTGATACCACAATGTTAAACTCAATAGGTAGCTTCTTAGAACAGAAATACAAGTCCACAGCTAGAAAATGTTCAGATATTGAAACTGGGAGAAATAAAACACTCTGGGTATTGGATCTTAAATTCTTTCTTAGGTTTTTCATAAAATCTTTTCTCTTTCATAAGAAGTATGTTTCTAACTAATGAAATGTTGCTTTTGTCAGTTTATTAGGAGAGTAATACCAAAACCAACAACTGCTTTGATTCCCAGAAGAAATATTAAGGACCTTTAGTTTGTAATCATCATGTACAATAATTGCTGAAAACCTTCAGCTAGTTATCTCATTTGTGAATAATTGTTACCTTGAAGTGACAGCAATCTCCCCTTCAAATATATCTGAAGCAAATGCAGGCTGGTGTAGGTAGCTTTGTCTTAGCCCTCTTTACCTCCCCCAGCAAGAACCTCCAGCACTCACCCTGTCCCCAGAAACATTAAATGTTCTTGTCTTTATTTTGTACAATGATCTAATAAAGTGGTACTTTTAATTATTCTCATTGTACTGATGAGGAATTTGAGGTTAAAAGAGGGAAAATAATTGCCTTGAGTCATTACAGTATGTATGGATCTGACTCCAGAGTCTATGATATCAGGGATGCTAATAACACTTAGTCCCGCCACTTTCTGCGGAAAGCCTAGTGTCATTATTTCCCCTTTCCCACATAACCACTCCCTGCTGGTCTCAGATCCTGTTACACTTGTTGAATGTCTCTTGAGACTGTTTTCTCCTTTTCACATACATGGTTCAAGCATCATTACCTCTCATCTAGATGCTTTAAATTATCTCCTACTAAAATATGTTTTTGTGTCTCCATGGCCTCATCCTTTCACCTTATCCTACACATTTCCTCCACCAGATTAATATTCCTTAATTAGCATCTGATCATGGCTTCATCTTGCTCAGCAGCCTTTACTGGCTATCCAGTAGGTCTCCTCCAGAATTTGGCTTCATCTCTCTTCCTAGGCTTCTCTATTAGCATTTTTTCCCCACTTGAATAGGTACCTTTGAGGATGGAGTCTTTGTCTATTCTATTCACCATCACATATGCATTGCCTAAAACAAAACTTAGTACAGAGAAGGTGCTCAAATAAGTTTTGGGTGAAAGAATAAAGAAACATTCTGCTTTAGTCATATCTAATTACTCATTGCTCCCAAAACAAATGCTGGATTTTCTTCAATTTGGTTTTTTGCTCAAAATAGTCTCCTACCTGGGTAGTCCTCCCTACCATCACCACTTATATAATTAATTCCCCGTTAAAATTTAGCCATTTATAACCTGTAAGTCAACCTTTCCAGCTGGAAATATTCACTCCCTCCTTTGTATTTTATGACCGTTCTCATCTCATACTCATTATATCTGCTTTGAATTATATAGTGAATTATCCTATAGTCATCTGAAACTATTGATTCAAAAATAAGGCAATGTCTCATTCAGCTTTGTATTTCCCATAATGTTGAGTATCAAATAAG